GAGATATAACTGATTCTGATGATCAAAGTCATGATGACTTTCTGCTGCCATGTTATTAATGCGGCTGCTGACAGACTCCACATCCTGCTTCTCAGCCACAGCTCAACAGGAAAACCACAGCGAGCATCTGAGGTGGTGTGTAGGCAGGTTAAATCTCTGCAGGTCGAAGCAAAAGTCACGTTCATGTGTTTCTGATCGCGTTCGCTCGGCTCTCGTCCTGTTTTCACTCTGTGATTCTGTTTCAGTCTGTCAGCGAGCCGGCTGTTTCTCGTGCTTTCAGTCCACTGACTCGTGTTTACTTCACATTCCTGCTGATCACCACCTGCTTTCAGCCTGATTTCCTCCAAGTGGCCAGTTCACATCAGTCCGCCTGGACAGATCCTGCAAAGAAGCTCCTGCAGCCATGTTGCACTGAGCTGATGTTCAGTTTCTGTTCTGTGTTCTTATGTTCTGAAGACTGTAATCAGAGACAAAGTGGAGCCTCTGGTGTTCTCCTTGAATGCCTCCTTGTACGAGAAGTTTCCCAAGAAAAAAAAGAACGTGCAGAACCTGAAACGCCTCCCGGTGCTGAGTGAGACGCCCCAACCCATCAGAACCCAGGTCAGAACCCATCAGAACCTTTTTATAGGAAAGCCAAACCCGGCTGGTCTGACCGATGCTGTCCTTGTCCCTCAGATCCACATCCAGAAGGCCTGTGGTCCTGATAACCGCTGCCACAGCAACCTGCAGATGGCGGCTCGGTTCACCGATGAGAGCCAGCGAGCTTTCCCCGAGTGAGTGAACAAAGACACTGCTCAGCCCAAAAAAGATGGTTGGACAGAAACACTCAGCAGGAAGCACGAGGTCATGTGATAAGAAGCCAATTTAAAGGCATGCTGAAGCAGATAAGAAGCTCTGTACATCACTGGGGTTAAAGTCTTTGTTATTATTTATCATTATTTATTATCTCTTTTATATTTGCATACCCAGAAATCCACTACACTTGAAAAAGAAAATGAAGCAACTACACGTCTGAGACTAATCACTGTGACAGCTGTACACTCCATGACTCAGCAGCTTCAGACCCTCCTTTAGCAGCAAGAAGTTGTTGTGATTGATTTCACCAAACAGCATGTTGTTAATTTGCATGAATCTGTTGTCGTTGATGGTGGAGCCAATGAGAATCCATAAGGAATAGAATTGATAAGTGATATCAATAATAAAATCGAAATCGCTAAATTCTTATCAGTTCCCATCCCTGGGCGCACCATGTGAACATCATCGAGTGTTGTGTTGTGACTCGATGCTCCAGTGGATACAGCTGTTTCCTCCTCCTCAGAGTCAGCACAGCCTGACTCACCCCGGGTCACCACTGACCATGTCAGTAATGTCAGTAACGGTCGTCAGTGCATCCCAACACAAACCCAGGCAGTATTCTTTTATTCTATTAAATAAAATGACTGACTGAAGCTTTGAATATCCATCTTCTACAGTATATCAGCTAACGCTGCTGGAGTTATTTTCATCTGAATTAAATGAAATTGATGAATGAAATAGATTTAGGAACGTCCCCATGCTCTGTTTCAACCAATGCTCCGGGCAAACCAGGGTTTGGTGGAGTCTGTGCAGCCTGAGTCCATCGCACACCGACCTGCACCCCCTTGGCACCTTACCGGCACACTGAATGTCTCTACCAGACTGGGTGAGGGTGTTGGAGCACTTTTTCCACCTCCATCAGTGGGTACTCCTGGTGCATGTGTACCGGTTATCTGCACCACCAGCATTGCTGTCCCAATCTTTGTGGGACTCCCAGTGAGCAAGGTGTAGCGTCCACTGTCGCCAAGACCTGTGGTGACAGACGGAGGTTAGTTGGAGATGTTGTTGCTGTCCTTAAGCGGACAGCCGACACGGGGAAGTGCCACGGGGCCTTCTTCTTGGAGCTGCTGCTAGCTGGTTCTCAGCCAGTGTCACAGCGCTGCCACGGTTCACTTCAGTCTGGCACTGCCACCATCTCTGCCAGTGCCCCCTCTCCTGGATGGGTC